AGGGCGAAACTTTGTAATAAATATGGCCACAAAGATGAGGACAATAGTTTGAATAATGTAAATAGTGTATATAATACCTCATCTCAGAAATATAGACAGATACTGAAAGGCCGAAACTTTGTAATAAATATGGCCACAAAGATGAGGACAATAGTTTGAATAATGTAAATAGTGTATATAATACCTCATCTCAGAAATATAGACAGATACTGAAAGGCCGAAACTTTGTAATAAATATGGCCACAAAGATGAGGACAATAGTTTGAATAATGTAAATAGTGTATATAATACCTCATCTCAGAAATATAGACAGATACTGAAAGGCCGAAACGTTGTAATAAATATGGCTACAAAGATGAGGACAATAGTTTGAATAATGTAAATAGTGTATATAATACCTCATCTCAGAAATATAGACAGATACTGAAAGGCCGAAACGTTGTAATAAATATGGCCAAAAAGATGAGGACAATAGTCCGACTAATGTAAATAGTGTACGTAATACCTCATCTCAGAAATATAGACAGATACTGAAAGGCCGAAACTTTGTAATAAATATGGCCACAAAGATGAGGACAATAGTTTGAATAATGTAAATAGTGTATATAATACCTCATCTCAGAAATATAGACAGATACTGAAAGGCCGAAACTTTGTAATAAAATATGGCCACAAAGATGGGGACAATAGTTTGAATAATGTAAATAGTGTATATAATACCTCATCTCAGAAATATAGACAGATACTGAAAGGCCGAAACTTTGTAATAAATATGGCCACAAAGATGAGGACAATAGTTTGAATAATGTAAATAGTGTATATAATACCTCATCTCAGAAATATAGACAGATACTGAAAGGCCGAAACTTTGTAATAAATATGGCCACAAAGATGAGGACAATAGTTTGAATAATGTAAATAGTGTATATAATACCTCATCTCAGAAATATAGACAGATACTGAAAGGCCGAAACTTTGTAATAAATATGTAATACAAAGATGAGGACAATAGTTTGAATAATGTAAATAGTGTATATAATACCTCATCTCAGAAATATAGACAGATACTGAAAGGCCGAAACTTTGTAATAAATATGGCCAAAAGATGAGGACAATAGTTTGAATAATGTAAATAGTGTATATAATACCTCATCTCAGAAATATAGACAGATACTGAAAGGCCGAAACTTTGTAATAAAATATGGCCACAAAGATGAGGACAATAGTTTGAATAATGTAAATAGTGTATATAATACCTCATCTCAGAAATATAGACAGATACTGAAAGGCCGAAACTTTGTAATAAATATGGCCACAAAAGATGAGGACAATAGTTTGAATAATGTAAATAGTGTATATAATACCTCATCTCAGAAATATAGACAGATACTGAAAGGCCGAAACTTTGTAATAAATATGGCCACAAAGATGAGGACAATAGTTTGAATAATGTAAATAGTGTATATAATACCTCATCTCAGAAATATAGACAGATACTGAAAGGCTGAAACTTTTAATAAAAATGGCCCACAAAGATGAGGACAATAGTTTGAATAATGTAAATAGTGTATATAATACCTCATCTCAGAAATATAGACAGATACTGAAAGGCCGAAACTTTGTAATAAATATGGCCACAAAGATGAGGACAATAGTTTGAATAATGTAAATAGTGTATATAATACCTCATCTCAGAAATATAGACAGATACTGAAAGGCCGAAACTTTGTAATAAATATGGCCACAAAGATGAGGACAATAGTTTGAATAATGTAAATAGTGTATATAATACCTCATCTCAGAAATATAGACAGATACTGAAAGGCCGAAACGTTGTAATAAATATGGCTACAAAGATGAGGACAATAGTTTGAATAATGTAAATAGTGTATATAATACCTCATCTCAGAAATATAGACAGATACTGAAAGGCCGAAACTTTATAATAAATTTTGTAATAAATATGGCCAAAAGATGAGGACAATAGTCCGAATAATGTAAATAGTGTATATAATACCTCATCTCAGAAATATAGACAGATACTGAAAGGCCGAAACTTTGTAATAAATATGGCCACAAAGATGAGGACAATAGTTTGAATAATGTAAATAGTGTATATAATACCTCATCTCAGAAATATAGACAGATACTGAAAGGCCGAAACTTTGTAATAAATATGGCCACAAAGATGAGGACAATAGTTTGAATAATGTAAATAGTGTATATAATACCTCATCTCAGAAATATAGACAGATACTGAAAGGCCGAAACTTTGTAATAAATATGGCCACAAAGATGAGGACAATAGTTTGAATAATGTAAATAGTGTATATAATACCTCATCTCAGAAATATAGACAGATACTGAAAGGCCGAAACTTTGTAATAAATATGGCCACAAAGATGAGGACAATAGTTTGAATAATGTAAATAGTGTATATAATACCTCATCTCAGAAATATAGACAGATACTGAAAGGCCGAAACTTTGTAATAAATATG